GGAGAGAGAACATCAATGTCTGTGCCTCTCTTGTAGGAGAAAGAAATCTTTTTCAGAGGCTCCCCAGCTGACTTCCTCCAAAGGGACCAGAAATGCCCTTTACTAAACCAACCACTGGCTGAGGGGCTAGAATTCTCATGAATGGCTTATACTAAGTAGCATCCATCCCGGACCAAATTGGAATTCCCTTGGGAAAAAAGAAGAGGAAAAATGGACATTGGAAAGAAACTAACAGTATGTGCTAGAAATCGGAATTATTTGTCTGCTTATGACTTTCTAAAAAAAATTTCTTTTTCTAGATTTAAGGCTGTTTCTATAATTAGTTCAGATTTGGAAAACAGATCACTTTTAGAAAAGTGAAATGTTTTAAGCTAAAATCAACTAGTAACCAGGAACATTTAATGAAAAACTGACTTTGGCATGAACCCATAAATGTAGACAAAGTTTGAGGGTGCTTCTCTGTGAAGGTTACAGCACTTGAATGATTCAACCTGGAGACTACACAGTTCATTACAAGGAAATGTTCAGGGAAAGGGACTGTTGAGAAGGAAGAGTGGTAGAGGGGGCTGTGACTTCCCATGAAGGTCACGCACCCTTCCAATGACTGCAGGCAAATGTATCAAGTGACAGGAATGTCCTAGGGACTAATATTTTCTTCTTGGAGCATATAAGACAATCTTAAGACCTAGGCCACTCTTTAGGGTATAAACAGCTATGGATAAATTAAGCAAATGTGTTTGTAGCTCTGGAAAATATCTCCATTTATGAGGACTTCAAATGAGCATTTCTTCAATTAACATAAGAATACAGATGAAATATTCTTCTAGATCCATTAATGGACCCCCATTCATTTTATAGAGTTTAAGCTTCCAAGATATCACTTATTCTTTTAAGTGGACCCTGACTCACCACCCCATCTCCAAATTTGGTCCCTTAACGCTCTGTGTACACTTCCAGGATCCAACTTATAGCACTGAATTACAATCTTCATTGTTGTCTTTCCCCCTAAATGCCAAGGATCTTGATAAAGGAACCATGTTCTACTTATTTTTCATACCCACAGGGTCCTGGTACCAAAGGAAAATCTGTCAGAACGATGGATGAATAGAGGGTTGGAGAAATTAAGGAGCAAAGGAATCAGTGAGTGTTCCAGCCCACCCAGGAAGTTAGCTGCATACTTAGGAATGGAACCCTACATTCCAGACTATTTTCCAATCTATATGCTAGATCTACACAGGTGGATTTTTGTTTGGGGATTTTGTTTTTAAATAAATGCTCTAAAATTATGCAAGGGCAGGTGGAGTTTGGGAAAACTGAAGAAAAAAATGAGCCTGAAATCCCTGCATCAGTATGTGAAGGGTTTTAGGAATGTCAGTGTGGCTCAAAAAGACATTTTGTGGAAAACTATGAATTATCAATTCTCCTCTTTAAGGCATTTTTGGTTACCAACCACTTAGGACTGAGCCCCCCAGCCTGTCTCTTACCCATTCCCATCCCAATATGTACAAAAGGCAAGATGCTGTGAACATGGTGACAATATCTACCAAAACTCTCCATCATTCCTTTTATCTTTGTAAGGTAAGATCATAGCATGCTTTTTTCTTGGACCAGTACCACGCAGAATGTCTCACTCAGTTAAATGAGAGCAGGCGACACCCCTCATTTCCACCCAGACTTACTACACAAAATGTACTAACTGGGCACCTAAAGTAGTTAAAGGGGGAAGGGCTTATCCTTGTTCTGGTTTCCATTTGACCAAACGTCTACCGGAGCCACACACCTATTCCTACATTTATCTAATTTGCAGTAGCACGTACCCAGAATGTAACTCTTGCTCATTCCCGAAAGATTGGGATGGCCCATCATATTATATGGTGGCCATATTCCAGAGGGGAGCCTGGCCCCAGGACTGATGAAAGAATCATTTTTGCTTCACATTTAAGGGCTTTTGTGAATGATTAGTACCTCAAGTCCTGACTAGAAATGTCAAAATGTTTTAAATTCCACAACCTACAGCAGATAATTTGGCCGAAAACAATTTGGCTAAATGAAATTTTGCCAAATATAATTTGACTAAATATAAAAGTATTTATTATAGTTTAGTTTAAAATTTATCTTTAAAGTAATTTGATCAATTAGAACAATTGGTACAAATAATACTTATATGAAAACGAGTAAACACAATAACTGGTTTTTTCAATGTTGGTAATTTTGGTGTATGTGTACCACGTAGCTTTGTGTCTCTCTGTGCACTTAGGGATCATTTCTAGGCAGGGCATTTCTTAGGTTTAACCCAGGTTGTTGTACATGATCTTTTATTCTATTTCTAACACATAGTATTAAAATCTAAGGCCTGGACGGGGCACCGTGGCTCATTCCTGTAAGGCAGAAAGATTGCTTAAGCTCAGGAGTTTGAGACCAGCCTGAGCAAGAGTGAGACCCCATCTTTCCTAAAACTAGAAAAAATTAGCCAGGTGTGGTGGCACGTGCCTGTCGCCCCAGCTACTCACAAGGCTGAGAAAGGAGGATAGCGTAAGCCCAGGAGTTTAAGGTTGCTGTGAGCTACGCTAACCCCACAGCACTCTAGCCCAGGCAAGAGAGTGAAACTCTGTCTCAAAAAAAGAAAAAAAGAACATTTCTGTCTGATTGTTATAATTGGTTCCTTTTTTTTCTTTGTTAATTACCTATGTTCTTTGCTTCTTACAATACTTAAAAGCTGATAAAAAGAACTTTTAAAACACAATGGATATTTGGAATAACCTAAATAACCAACAAAGGTGGATTGGCTAAAATAACCTAAATATCAATTTATAGAGAAATCTGTTAAAATTGAGAATTCTGTATTTTCTTTTCTTTTTCTTTTTTTTCTTTTTTTTTTTTTTTTTTTGAGTCATAGTCTTGCTCTGTTGCCTGGGCTAGAGCGCCGTGGCGTCAGCTTAGCTCACAGCAACCTCAAACTTCTGGGCTCAAGCGATCCTCCTGCCTCAGCCTCCCAAGTAGCTGGGACTACAGGCATGCACCACCATGCCCGGCTAATTTTTTCTATATATCTTTTTAGTTGTCTAGCTTATTTATTTATTTATTTTAGTAGAGACAAGGTCTTTCTCTTACTCAGGCTGGTCTTGAACTCCTAGCCTCAAGCAGTCCTCCTGCCTTGGCCTCCCAGAGTGTTAGGATTACAGGCATGAGCCAACAAGCCCAGCAAATTCTGTATTTTCTTACATAATTTATTTTATTATTTAAGTTATTTTGTTAATTTCCTTTTGGTATAAAAACAACATTGTACTCAATACAAAAAATAATTAGAAAATACATGCTTTTTTTTAAAAAAAAAAGAACATTATAAGTTACCTATCTGGTTGAAATCTTGAAAGCTTGATTTATTTCCTTTCAGGTCTTTTTTGATATGTACACACACACCCAAATGCGTGTACATACATATGCACAAACACACATCTGACTTCTGCAAAATAACATCATGCCATAATAATCCTTCATAATCTCCAATATAAACTGTATATATAAGCAAGCCACAAACTGTTGGACTTTTCAGCAATTTAACTAATAGCCTATCATCCAGAAACAAATTAGGAATCATTATAACTATACATACCAGAAAAATGTTATACATGGACAAAAATGCTTAAAAACACATAAAGAGTTATGACTCAATATCATGATCAATACTAATTACTAATATTTTAAAAGTTCAGTTTCTATAAATTCAGAATTTTAATCAGATTGTCCTACTGGTCACTTTTCTTTTAATCATATTCTTTAGTTCCTATTTCCTTGTGGCCAAATCACTTTTGACTACATTCTTGGGAGATGCAGGTCAGTTCAGTTTTAAGCTGGGTCATCCTTCCAATATCACCCTGTCTGAGATATCTATATTGGTCATTGCCAATCCGTTTTTTCTGAGGTACGCAACATCTGGATGTTCAAATTAGTGACACACTGCAGCCTTGTTCCAACAAGAATTTTACGTGACTTTCACAAACATATTCAATAGAGTAAAATTAAAAATAAGGAAAGCGGTGTGAAAGGAACACAGGAACTCTCTGTTCCATATTTGTACCTTTCTGTAAGTCAAAAATTAGTTCAAAATTAAAAAAAAATAGACTGCAATATAAACAGATTGAAGAGACAAAACCTTTTCCCCAAATTATGAGACATCAAACTATATACACACACACACAGACAGTTAGATAGTGATGATACCATTATAAGAATTAGTAAACAGGAGGACATGCTTTAGGGTTTCACACCAGTGGTCCCCAACCTTTTTGGCACCAGAGACCGATTTCATGGAAGACAATTTTTCCACAGATGGGGGGGGGAGTGATGTTCAGCCTGGTTCTTAACAGGCCACAGACTGGGCCATGCCCAGGGGCTGGGGACTGCAGTTTTACACAATTACTATAGTCAAGTTTGACCAAAGTAAAAAAGAGCCACGAATGTTCATCCATTGTATATTTTAAAATAGCTAGAAGAGAATAATTAGAACGTTCCTAGCATAAAGAAGAGATAAATATTTAAAGTGATGGACATCCCAATTACCCTGATTTGATTATACGAATGTATCAGATTATCACCAAGATATATACATCTAATGTGTATCATAAAAAAATAAAAACTAAAAAAAGACATGATTGTTACAAAAATCACATTAGCATTTGTAAAAAATGTACTGATTAAAAAGGAGAAGCAAAAGGTTTCCTTCACTAAGGTCTAAGAGAAATTTCCCTGTGGGCTTTCCCAAGTGAAGACAAAGTTATGTGAGGTTAACATTCTCAGCAACACCCTCACTCTACATAAAAGAACGTCCTGTAGAAGCAGAAGCAGGGTCCTGACTCAAAGGCCGGGACGGCAAAGCACTTAGATTTTCACAGTTATAAGCTATTAGACATATACTTTAAACAATTTTCTCTTTAAAAGAAAAAAAAAGCCTAATTGTGGGAAGAGTGGAGTAAAGAATGTTTCAGGAAATATTAACCTACCTTCCTTGTCAGGAGGGCTTTTAAAAAATTCAACACGAGATAAGGTAAGCAGGGGCATACACAGGTCAGGATTGCCCCGCTGTTAGCCAAGGCTGAAAAGCAAGACTCAAGGCAGATCAGTTTTAAGAAGAAATGGAGAAGCATGGTGTTCCCTTAAAATACGTGACATATCCCACGCTGGCAGACACCGCTTGCACTGTTTATCTGTTGGTTTCTTTATTTAGGTCGTCAAAAAGTGGAGAGGATGCCCAGCCTGTCTCAAGCAAAATCAGAAAGGAGCATGTGTTGTGTGGCACCTATGCACCTCCTCCTTGTAACTGTCTCCTCCCCCAACTTAAAAAGATGTTGCCTCCAGGCTGAAAGAATGGGGTGGAAGCGTTTGGCCCTGAGTTCCTGGGACCCAGCCATGGCTAGAGGAAGGGTGCTTGGATATAATCTAAAGAAGAAAGCCAGTGCTGGGAAGAATGGAGCCCAGCCACAGGGATCAACCCCAAAGGGAGCAGATTCCAGTGGGGCCCAACTGGGACAGAGAAAGATCCTATGGGCCTTCTTTCCTGGGCCCAATTCTATTCTCAGAACCGTCCCTGGTTTGCAGAGACACTCTGGCTGGTGGTTAAAAAAATAAATAAATAAAAGAATAAAAATATAATAAAAGATTAAAAAAAAAAAAAAGAACCATCCCTGGGTGTGGGAGTGAAAAAGGGGCCTGTTCCTACTGTGGACTCACAAGGTTCTCCTACCCTTTGCCCCAATAGATCTAATCCTCACTTGGTATTATCTACTTACCCTCTAGTTGGAGGAGGTTTTAAACCCGAATTGGCCTCCATGAGGCTGCTAGAGGTTATTCTGGAATTTATAAGGATTGGGAGGGTGGGTGTACTGTATATGGATCCAAGCTTCCTAGTGACAGCCCTAAGACTTGGAGCTCAGCCAACCCGAGCATGGGTCTCCTAGCCCAGCTACTTCTCTCTTCCTCACCCCCTTTCCTTCTCTTCCCCTCCACCCCAAGATGCTGGGCACACAGGATCCATTCCTATTGCACCGTCTTCTCTAGCCTTTGCCCTGCTCATGGTTAGGTCTCTCCACCTGCCCTTCCCCTTCTCCCCACACCACACACAGCAACAGAGCCTTCCTCTCCTGGACTTGGCATCACTCAGCTTCCAGAAACGTGGTCCTGGTTCTTTTGAAGGTGGTTGGGATGCTGCTGCATGGAAGGAAACAAGGAAGTGAACACAAGAGCCTCTGCCGTGAGCCTTGGCAAATAAGGGGGAGGCAGAAAACTCTACAAGCTGCCGATCATAGCTCATGCTGTCCACTTCCCTCGTAATACAGATTCGGATAAGGAAGTTCAGGTCCCAAGTGACTTGTTCAAGATCACACGTTTACTTATTGCCAAAGTCAAAACCAGAATCCAGCTCATACAAATGTCACCCAATTGATATTGCTGCTTCCATTAAGCCATATGGAAACAGAAAGAAAACTGTGGTCTTTCCAGAAATGCTCATGCTAGCAGGAGCATGGGAAAGATCTTGGGCAAGCTTGAAACTATTTACAGATACTATGAGACTGAAAAAGAAAAGTCCAAGTTGGATTTTCTTAAAAGCTTGCTTTGTCTATGTAAAATAATATTAATTAGGGGAATACCCATATAGGGCAAAACATTTGATAAGTATCATTCACTAGTTTGAAATATTGCTTACATATTTTCAAAGCAGCAATCAAAAAAGAAGGTGGAATTTCACCACTATTTCTGCCTTTCCTCTCGGAATTAGGCATTGTTTTGATAATCTTGGTCAACTGAAAATATTCTCTCTGTATCTGTCAAATTGGTGAAGGTTTTTTAGGAAAAAAATAGTGTTTTTCTATTTTAAAACGGAATCATAACACTTATGTATAGACATCAGTTTCTAGAAGGAGAGCTATTTTAGAATAAGTGAACAAAATGGCATTTAAAATAAGCCATTGCACCAGAGTTGCCTCCCTTGCCTAACAAGGTAGTCTGATACTAATCGAATGATTCCATTATTCATTCCAAGTGAACAGCGTTAGTACCCAAGTGTTAGTTTCTGTGCGGTTCACCGAGGGGACGCTGCCCTCACAGAGATGTCACCGGAGGGGAATGAGGTCAGGGCAGAGCAGTTGTCACAGGACGTGGGGTGGAGCAGGGTGACAGGACCAGAAGAGTGTGAAGACCTACAGAGATGCAAAGGAAGGAAAGAATGCAAGTATTTGCTGGGGGAAAAAATGCCCTAGACTAAATTAGGGATTAGTACAGGCAGCTGTGGAGTAGACGCTTGGGATGTGGCATGACAGATGAGAGGGCTCGCCTGGGCCCGGCTCCAGAGCACAAACATTCAGGAAGTCCAAATATTTAAGATACTGTAATGATTTTTCAAAGATTATACATAATATTTTCATTTCACTCGTTCTAAAAACACTTATCTCTTTCCACTGTGGTGAACTTATCCAAGTCCCCCTGTCCCAGCCATTTTTGGCAGCCTTTTAAAATAGTGGAGAGGAGTAGAACTCCTACCAGCCTGGGGACTTTTTGCTTTTATATCACAGACACCACCTCCACCACAGCCCACGCTGAGTCTTCATCACCTCACACCAGTTAAAATGGCTATTATAAAACGTTTTTTAAAAAGACAAGTGTTAGCAAGGAGGTGGAGAAATTGGAACCCTTGTGCAGTGGATGGGCATGCATAATGGTGTGGCTGCTATGGAAAACAGTATGGAGGTTTCTCCAAAAACTAAAAATAAAACTACCATATGATCCAGCACTCCCATTTCTGGGTACATACCCAAAAGAATTAAAATCAGGATCTCAAAGAGGTATCTATACTCCCACATTTATTGCAGCACTATTCATAATAGCCAAGATGTGGAAACAACCTAAATGCCCATCAATGGATATCTAGATAAAGAAAACGTGGTATATGGAAAATTATTCAGCCTTAAAAAAAAAGGTAATCCTGCCATATGCGACAACATGGATGAACCTAGAGGACATGCTAAAGGAATAAGCTGGTCACAGGGGCCCAAATATTGCACAATTCCATTTATAGAAGGTATCTATACCTAAAATAGCCAAATTCAGAAACAGAGAGTAGAATGGTGGTTGCCAAGGGCTTGGGGGAGGAGGAAAATGGGGAGTTATTGCTCACAGGGTGTTAAACTTTCAGTTCTTCAAGATGAATAAGTTCTAGAGATCTATTGTACAACGTAGTGCCTTATGGTTAATAATACTGTATTGTGTACTTAAAAACTTATCAAGAGGGCAGATCTCATGGTAAGTGTTCTTACCACAGCAATAAAAAAAAAAAGTGAAGCTAAGTAAAAAAAGAAGGGTGAATACAATCTTTAAAAAAGTCAAGTATACACAAGGAAGTCAAAGGATGTGAAAACAGAAAGGTAGCTGTGGCCACAGGCAGAAGAACTAAACCACCAGGGTGAAACATTCTCTAGAGGTATTGCTAAGAGAAAATTAAGCCACCAGATTAGGCTCGTAGGCCCATTATTTTCTAAGTACTCCAAATTAGAACAGTGAGTACATTTTAGTTTTTGCCAGTTTGCCAGTTCAATAGGCAAAAATGTAGTGTATTGTTCCCCCCCACCCCCGGGGCTGGAACAACATGACAGACTCCTTGCCAAAGTTTCTGCTCTGCCAACTCCTGGCTGGTCCCTTTCTGGAAAGTGCCATCATGTATTTGGCTGTTCTGGAGTAAGCTCTAGGATATTTTTCAAAGGCAACATCAAAAGACCAAGTTAAAAATTAGAAGGTTCCCTTTGGGCTTCCTGTTCTTTTTCTGTCTGAAGAGAGGGCGTATCCTTGGGTAAGGAAGAGATAGATCAGTGGTCAAAATGATCTCATGCTTGAAGGTAAGACTGGCTCCAGTTTAACAAGGATGCCTTTGTCTCCTGGGATTGAGCACAGTCCCCCTGCGTGGGTGCGACAGGAGCACACACTCCCCCACGGGAACATCACTCCCTCACAGAGCCACCTCCATGCAAGGAAGGCTGGGGGCCCAGGGCGGAACTCAATGAGTAAGTCACACCATCTCCAGCAGACTTCTTTGGCTTTGTCGGGCCTAATGCCTGCCTCCTCCAGTGGCACAGTTTTATGCTTTTCTCACCTGCCAGGGAAAAGGGAAAAAAGATGCAGCTGGGTGATATGTAGCCCTCTGGGATCTGCAATCAGACAAGGAAAACCAAGAGCTGAATAGAATTAACAAAGGCCTTCATCTGTTGTGTTGTCTTTAAAATGCTTGTTGAAGCATAATTTACATACGCTAAAATTCATTCATTTTAAAACATGCAATCAAATGATTTTGAGCAAATTGACAGTTGTGTTAAATTTGCCAACTTTCCACCATCCCCAAAAGATCTTTTGTGTCTATTTTGTAGTCAATCCCTGTTCCTATTTCTAGCACCAAAACAATCACCATTCTGCTTTTTGTCTCTCATAGATTTGCCTTTCCTGGAAATTTCACATACAATATGTAGTTTTTTGTGTTTGGTGCCTTTCAGTTAGCATAACGTTATTGAGGCTGGCCGACCTTGTGGCGTGTATTAGTACTTCTTTACCTTTCATTGCTGCAGAATATTCCATTGTATGGATATATCACATTTTGTTTTTCAATTCACCATTGATAGACACTTGGATTGTTTCCAGTTTGGGCTATTGTGAATCAACCTGCTGTGGACATTCCCATACATGTCTCTGTATGAACATATGTTTTCGTTTCTTGTGGGTGGATAACTAGGAGTAGAATTGCTAGGTCATATGGCAAGTTTAAGTTTAACTTTGTATGGACTGTCAAACTATTTCCAAAGTGGCAGTATCATTTCACATTCCCACCAGCGATGTATGAGGGGTCCTCTTTCTCTACATCCTCATTAACATTTGCTATTGTCTGCCTTTTTTACTGTCGTATTGTTTGTGAGTTTATTTGTTTTTAAGACTCAAGGTTTTCCTACCTTGCAGTCCCAGGAACCATCATACCTAAGCATATGATTTCAGTCAAAAATTGCTAAAGCTTTTGAGGCTGTGATAATTCAGGGAAGAGTCTGGTTGTGAGAGGTGGACAACCCCATGCTTGCTATTAAAAGAAGGGTGGGACAGAGCAAGATCAGACACCCCCATTGTCCATCCTTCATTGTCTAAGGCAGAAAAGCCGGTTCTTCCAAGAACAAAAGGTTTCCTTCAGCTTAGAAACTATCTCAACTTGTACATGCAAGAATTAATGAGCATTTATGAGCACCTTTAGTGAGGGAAAAAATGGTTATT